ATCTTGAGGCCCTTCTTGATCAGTCTGGTGAGACAAGGGGCAAGAGGGAGGTGACCAATGAACATCCCACCCAGCACAGAGTCTGCTCCCACCCCCGCTCCCACAGCCTTGGTCCAACTGCTAAACAACAGGAATGCCTTGGACATGAGTCAATGTAGTTCTCAAAGGAAAATTATCATCGTCATCACCACCAACCACCCCTGTCATGGTACAGAGTGCCCGTTAATGAGCACAGACTCTAACTTGGCGCCCGTAGCTCAGTGAGTGGGGCGCCAGCCACATGCACTGAGGCTGGTGGGTTGGAGCCTGGGCCGGGCCTGCTACACAACAATGACAACTGCAATCAAAAAATAGCCAGGCATTGTGGTGGGTGCCTATAGTTCAAGCTACTTGGGAGGCTGAAGCAAGAGAATAACCTAAGCCCAAGCGTTTGAGGTTGCTGTGAGCTGTGATGTCACAGCACTCCCCTGAGGGTGACAGTTTGAGATTCTGTCTCAAAAAAAAAAAAAAAGAAATGAGCACAGATTCTGTGCCAAGGATGATGGTGTGCTGAGCACTAGGAAAGACATTCATCTCCTTCAATCCTCGTTTCATCTCTGTGACGTTACAGATGAGGAAACTGAGGCTCAAACTTTCCCAGTAGGTAAGGGATAGAGTTTGAATCAGCTCTGTCTGATCCCAGGGCCTCAGCTGTCAGATATGGAGCCAGGTGGGCCTGGGTCCAATCCCAGCCCTTCCCACTTGCCCAGGTGTCCTAACCCCTCTGAGCCCATTTTTTCACCAAGAAATGGATGTGATACTTTGCACTCACCTCAGTTGTTGTGAGAATGAGACTGAACATTGCATTTGAAGATTCTACCTGGAAGCTGGTACCCAGGAGGAACTCAATGTTTGTGCCCTTCCCTTCTTTGGAAGCCCCAGAGGCCTCCACATTCACGTAACTTCATCGCTACTTTCTGGAGCTGTGGGGAGTCCCCATCATTTGCTCTGTCACTTATGTCCCCATTAACGTCCACTGAACATGGAGCACCTGCTTCCAGGCCACACTCCCTGCTGACACCTCACTCAAGGAGCCAAACAACTCTGCTAGTCAAGGACTGACTTTCAGACAGACTCAGCCAAACTGTCAGAGCTCACATAGCCAGGCAGTGATCCCAGAACTGAGATCTGACTCCAAACTTGAGCTTATCCTGCTCAGCACCACCTACGACTCACAGGGAGGCAGAGCGGCAGTTGGCCGCCTGGAACATGAGCCTTAAACATGAGGGAAGCCATGCTGGAGGGGGTGGGGCTTCTTGGGAGGATCAGCCACAGCTGTAGGAACTGAGTAGGCCTGTGCCTGTCCCCCTGCCCCAGGATATACCCCTTGAAATGACAGCCACCATCATAGATGAATACATAGACAGAGACTCAGATGCACTAGCCAAACGCCATGGCTTCCAAGAATTGATGGCGGACATATTGATCACCTTCCAGACCTTTAATTTCTCAAGAAACCTCCGAGGTAAGCCTATCCCTGGCCACTTTCCATTCTGACCTCGTAGCTGGGTCGTCACAGAGGGTATGGCTTCTGTTGGGTCAGTTTCCCCTCATTTCTTGTGCCCCCCACACACCCTGCTGCTCCCTCAATTCTGCTTTCTCTGGGATTTAGCATCATAGCAATGAGAAGTGTGTCTGTCAGGGCACTTTGCTTAGGAGAAAACTGAGGTTCAGAGAGGTGCAGTGACTTGCCAGAGGTCACGCAGCACAGCCCATCACTAATTCTCAGGATTCCATTCAATCGACTGGGGAGTTCCTCCTCTTTGAGTGCTTCTCCTGGGATAAAAGTCTTGTTTCTGGGTGGCACCCGTAGCTCAGTGGATAGGCGCCAACCACGTACACCAAGGCTGGTGGTTCAAACCCAGCCCAAGCCTGTTAAACAACAATGACTACCTCAACAACAACAAAAATAATAATCATAAATAAATAAAAATGGCCGGGTGTTGTGGCGGGCACCTATAATCCCAGCTACTTGGATGCAGAGGCAAGAGAATCGCTTGAGCCCAAGAGCTTGAGGTTGCTGTGAGCTGTGATGCCACCACACTCTACCCAGGGCGACAGCTTGAGTCTCTGTCTCAAAATAAATAAATGAATAATAAGAAAAATAAAAAGAAATCTTGTTTTTTCTGAGCCTGGTGGCAAGATACCTCTTTCCTGCTGCCTCAGTTTCCTCCTTTGAGAAATGGAGATAATAATAGAATCTAAGCCATGGGGTTGTTATGAGGATGAAATAAATGATGACACAAAGCACACGGCACATGCTTGACACCTAGCAAGTGCTCAGCAGAGACCTGCCGCTAATCACCTTGTCAATGTCACCATCGTTGGTATTGGTGTTATACGCTTACGCTGCCAAAGGCAGGACCTAACTGGGCAGTGGGCGCCTAACTCTGATCCTGTCCTCTCTCTGCAGATTGTGGGAACCCCACCTTTTTCTATGAGTTCCAGCATCGACCCAGTTCTTTTGTGAAGTTCAAACCGGATTGGGTGAAGGCTGATCATGGGGCTGAGACTGCGTTCGTTTTTGGGGGTCCCTTCCTCATGGACGAGAGCTCCCTGCTGGGTGAGGACAGAGAGACAGACATGTGATCCCTGGGCTGCCAGACTCCAAGGGGTCAGGGCAGGGCTTTAGGAGCAGAGGGCTCTGTTCAGCACCAGAGGTCCTGGGTTCCCTCCAGGCCCCATGTGACTTGACTCAGGTCTGTTTCTTTCACCAGCCTTTCCTGAGGCCACAGAGGATGAGAAGCAGCTGAGCCTCACCATGATGGCCCAGTGGACCCAGTTTGCCCGAACAGGGTGAGTGAGTGAGTGGGCATCCCTGGGTTTGTGCCTGGGACGCTCAGGTCTGCACATTGGGGACAGCGCAAAAGGCCTTGGTCCTCATTCATTCCTCCCCCCTAGGGACCCCAATGGTGAGGGGCTGCCTCCATGGCCCCAATTTGACCAATTGGAACAATACCTGGAGATCGACCTTGTGTCACAGGTCAGGCAGAAGCCAAAGGAAGCCCGAATGAGGTTCTGGGCAGAGACACTGCCTAGGAAGATCCAGCAGTGGTACCAGAAGCAGAAGGGGAGGAAGGCCCCAGAAGAGCCCTGAGGTGGGGCCTGGACCTTCTTGGCTAGAGCCAAGCCAAAGGGTGGCAGATTCCCACCCCCTCCCGGGCAGCCTCCTTCCTCCTTCCCACCTCCCATGAGAGACTTTAACTTACATCTGGCTGACCTAAGCTCGTGTCCTTGAAAGCATCAACCACTGTATGACTGGCATTCTGGTATTTTGATTGATTGATTAATTATTTTTAAGACAGACTTTCACTTTATAGCTCACAGCAATCTCATACTCTCAGGCTCAAGTAGCTGGGACCACAGGCACTTGCCACAACACCAGCTATTTTTTAGAGACGAGTTCTCAATCTTCTCAGGCTGGTCTTGAACTCCTGAGCTCAAGCAATCCACCCACCTCAGCCTCCCAGACTGAGGTAGGACTACTCCTTATAGGCGTGAGCTAGGACTACACCTAGATAATTTTACTATTTTCTTTATTGTTGTCATTATTATTTTTAGAGACAGAGTCTTACTTTGTTGCCCTAGGTAGAGTGCCGTGGCGTCACACAGCTCACAGCAACCTCCAACTCCTGGGCTTCGGCTATTCTCTTGCCTCAGCCTCCCAAGTAGCTGGGACTACAGGCACCCGCCATAATGCCTGGCTATTTTGTTGTTGTTGTTGCAGTTTGGCCGGGGCTGAGTTTGAATCCACCACTCTTGGTACATGGGGCTGGCGCCCTACTCAGTGATCCGTAGGCCCCGCCCAATTTTGCTGTTTTAAATGTCACCAGGCTGCTTTCTGCCTCCAGGCTCTTGTACCAGCTCTTCCCTCTCCCTGAAGGACCTTTCTCACTTCTTCGTGGCAAATTCCAGCTCATTCTTCAAACTCACCAGTGAATTCCCTCCCCAAGGAATTCCCATCCCTGCCTACTCTGGTCTGCATGGCCCTGCGTCTGTGTGCACTAGAGCACAGTACACCCTAAGTCAGTACTGGGTCTGTGTCTCTCTCACCCTCGGAAGAACTCTCTGAACATGGGGATCAGCCTGACCACACTCTGTTGCCTGTATCACCATCAGGTAGTACCTGGAGTTAAGGGAAGTTTGGTGAATGCATAAAATAGAGCGAGTGGGAGTGGTGGCTGCTGGACTTGAACCCAGAGCCTTCAGTTGCCAAAGCCAAGCTTAGTCTCCAACAGACATAGTCCTGGCAAGAAGATTAGAATCCAAAGGCTAAGACCTGGAGTGGGAGACATCCTGGGGAACCACGAATATCTGGGCAAAAACAGATCTTAGCCCCTGACTAGGGCCTCAGACTAGAGGTGGGCAAGGTCCCCAGCTCTCTGTTGCCCATTCCTGATCCCTGCACAACACAGCAGAATCTAGCAGGGCCACCTGCACCAGACATGGCCTTCATCATTTAGAGCCCATGCCCTAGCACTGGCCTCCTCTCTCCCTTCCTACCCAGGAAGGCACCTTCTGGGGGAGCTTAACACAATATCAGAGCACCCATCAGGATGTACCTGTACAGGACGGGAGAGAGTGTCTGGACCAGTGCATCACTCAGGCTGCTGTCACAGAGGAAAGAAGACACCTACCCACTCAGGCTGAAAAGGTGAAAAGCAGCCAGAGGTTTGCAGAGGGGGAGTAAGCACTTCTTTTTTTGAGGACCGATGCCCGATTCCCTTCAAACACCTGGATTGTGATGCACATCCACTGTCTTCTGGGGCCACCACTATGACACCCTTGAAGCACCAGGCCTCCATATCCCCTTTCTCAGTCAGACCAACTTCCTGGCTGCTGACGGGCAAATGAAGAGTATCTTCCACTGGGACCAGCTCTGTTCTGGGAAGTCCATTTTCAGTAGGAAGGAGAGACACAAAGCCAGAGGGGCTGAGTCATTTCACCCACTGCTTCAAAGGTCATTGAGTCCCTATCACCCTTAGAACAAGTTCTAGTTCTTCATGTGACATTGAAAGCCTCCCGTTCTCATCCCCATCCCTGTGCTAGGAAAGTTTGTCCCCACAAGCTGGTAGAGAGCCTGACAAGTAAACAGGCCTCAATGATACAGTGTGTAACTGGGGACAGAGAGGGCTGGGAGGACATAGAGACTAGAACACCCCAGACTTAGGGGACCGGGAAG